TTGCGTGAGTATTGTAGTAGTGGTGTAATAAATGATGCTGTATTATTTAGAAATTTCTACTTCACTCTGTGAAAAGGCATGTTGGATTGAAATCTTTATCTTCTTATTTCTTAGAATGAACTCGATGTGGCGTAGGACTATATAAAGCGATACCCTTCAATTAATATTGTCAGAAATTATGGTTTTGAAAATATTAATTCTTCACTGAGTCAAATGAATTACATTCATAAAATAAACAAAATTCAGTGGTTCATCAATTAAAATTTTTATTGTAATGACATCTTGTTTCAAAGTACTCTGATATTGCTTTACGAGTCTTAATTTCCTGAGACTAAGATCAAGTGTTAAATAGAAGGATGAAAGCAACTTTGTTCAAAATTGTAATCTGTCTCTCTTTTATTTCTTGTTGAAATTGTAGTGACTCGGATTAATTTATGAATAGAGTTGATACTTGAAGTCATTATGGAGTTAAACAGAAACAATTAATTGTATTAAAATAAGAATAGTGTATCATTGTGTTCAGATAGGTTAAGGTTTGTTGAGGACATAATCTAATATTTATTTTAGCAAGATTAAAGTAGTATTACTTACTTGCTTCATTATGTATGTCCCGAGAGCAATACAGCAAATAAGTAGTTAATTACTTTATATTGTGTTGATACCTTGCATGAAAACATCTTGTGAAAGTAAATGTGTTTGTACATGTTATGGAGAGGTGTGTTGTAGAGTTCATACATTGTTTATTTACTGTCTCTAATATTTGAAAATATCTGGAAACAGACAGAATTAAACTTAATGTGGCACAATTTTAATTTCATAAATGTAATTGTAAAATTTCTTAAACAATTATTTCCTAGAATTTTAATAATATAATCCAGAAAATTTTAGAGGCATATTAATATGCATTTAGTGGGCAACTATGTTTGTTAAATAATGTGATGTTAAGTTAATTAATAAAAATCTTTACTGTTGAAAGGAGGTTCCTGGACATAAAATAAGTATAATAATATATGGTTAGAGAAATAAGGCAACCATTATAACAGAATAAACAATTCTGTTGACAATTAAAATTCTGAAAGTATACTACATTGTATATTCATTCATCGTTTCATTGTTCTTTATTTATATTGGGAGTTAAAATTAATGGTGAAGGATAGCAAGTGAGATTTTCAGCTGTTAAAAGTGTTTAATGTCAATGAATTGAAAGCACGAGGCTTTAGAAAAGAAAAACAGCTTTGTTCGGGAGTGCTTTCTTCTTAAGAATATAAATTCCTTAACTTTGCATCTAGAGTATGTTTACTAATGTTCTTTGTTCAATGTGAGATTACTATGTAAGATTATGTTTATAATTTTCAATTCAGCATATTAGAACACATTGAATACTAGAAATGAGTGCCTGAAAATAACTAAATACTTCTTGGGCATTCATTGTAGAGTTATTTTAGTATGGCAGTCTGGATTCCTTAAAAATAAAGATATTCCAAGTGACAGTTACAATTCCAATGATCATGGACTGACCTGCTAAAATAAAATTTCTGTAGTCAAAATAAATTCTGATGTATGTGAAAGTTTAGTAGGTAAGATAGACAAATAAACAATAAGACTCAAATTTGGAGAAAGATGGGGGAGGGGTCAAATGATTTTTCGAAATATATTCTTAGATACCTAACATATTCAATAGTTTTAGTTTCTTTTCATGGTAATTTATTGAATATGTATTTTAGAAAATTAACTTGTACCTTGGCATGGTAATATTTTGGTTTTTGTTCTAATGGCCACATCTAGAACTGAAATGATCATTTCAGTCAGTGAATAAAATCGAAACAGCTGTTTATAGTTCATAAATTTTACATTATTAACATTAATTATGAACATTATTAATTTTTTAGTCCACATGTGGTATCAAATTTTCTCTAGAAATATAATCACTCAATTTTTCTCTAAATGAATTAGCTTTAGTAATAATTTATAAGTTAAAATTGGTAATTTCTTACATCTGTACATGGTAGGGTTAGATATGCAGAATGAACATGCAACTCAGCATTGCAGCAAAGCATATTCGCATTGTGGAATCACACCAGCAGCAAATTATAATTTGTTAAGGGTTTTCAAAGTTAGTTTTATGGAAGAGGTATAATCAAATCCATATTTAACTTTTTGATGGTATTTGAATTTGAGATGATATTATTGAGCAAGGATATTGATATTACATTATAGACTGTATTAAGTACACATAAATCAATACTTCAAACATTATTAAAAATAGCGAAATCAAATTATGATTTTATTTTAAACATGAAAAATGTGACCTGAAAAACACTTGTAAGTACAATTTTCTTAATCTTTCAGAGACTCCATAGCAGTGCTAGATGCGTGTTATTTTGGATATGAACTGCAGGGTGAACTGCAGCTGAATTCCAATTAATGATAATCTATTTTCATATTATAAAAAGTGCATTTATATGAAGTTTCCCAATATGCATTTATGTAAGATCATGATCATTTTATGACAAATTAAATCTGTTCATCCTATTCCATTAGTGAACAAATCAAAAAACTAACTAATCAGAAAACCAAGTCACTCTGTCGAAATACTAAGTTTACATTGAAATCAGTAACCACTATGTATATTAAATTTATGGTTTTAGATTTTGATTCAAAATTCCCATCAGATTAGGTAAAACTTTACTTGAAGTATAGTTCTGTGTACTTAATAGTACAGTACTTTTTACTGCACTATTATAAAAACATGCATCAGGTCTCTAAAATGAAGGAAACAAGCTGGGAAAAATTTTAATCATGTCTACTAGAGCTTGAAAAGAATACAATAAATTAAATGAAATGTATGAACAATTGTAATATAGAAAATTAACAATTATCTTGGAGTGTATGGATGGTGTTATGTTTTTTGGTGTTGCTTTTTCTGATATTTTATTTAATCCATTTGCATTCTTTTACATTTTTGTTTGTTAATTTTAATATTTTTTGTTTAAATTTCTTTTTGAGAAGGACTATCTGGAAAGTTAATAATTTAATACGGAAAATTATAATTTATCACTTCTACTAAGATTTAATCAATTTGTTTCATGTATAGCTGTTTAATTTCCATTTCAAAAGTGTGTTTTAATGTAAATATTTGGTAGTATATGTTGAAATAGTATTTAGTGCAGTGTTTAGATTTTAGTCAAACTATTGAATCCTCTAATTCTGTCTGCTTGTTCAGATTAAGATAACAAAGGATATTTTTATGAGTATAAGAGTGTTTCCTGTCCTTAGTTAAATCAATTATTTTATTTGGATCAAATATATTTTCATAAATTGAATAGTGGTGGTAGTTTTGCATTGTGAATTATTACATGTATTTACAGTTGTAGCTTAAAATGTTCTTTTACTTTTTATTTTTAGACAATTGTTCTAATTTGGTAAGCTCTCCCTTTTTGTCATGCATTTCTGTTTGTGGCTAATAAGGGTGATTTAATTTTTTCTGCTATTAGGTTTGTAGTGTATTACTTTAAAAGTGTGTGCTTTTTCTTGTTAGTTTATTTGACATTGATATTAAGTTTTCCCTCAACTTTAAGCAATAATTAATTTAAGCACTGCTTTAATTATATTTGTTAATATATTAATGAAAATGAGTATTGATTATTCGTAGTCTTAGAACTCTTTACAGTTGTTCTCAATATTTGTATTGTGTAGCATCATTAAAGATCATTCTTTTAAAAATGTTAATAATATTTTTTGTTAGATCAATAGATTCTATTTCTTCTCTCGAATCCATGGTGTAAATATATTAGTTAAATATTGAACATCTAGATTCTTGAAATGGGTAGTGAAAAAGTGTTAGCCAAATATGGAGTTAGCCAAAGATCATTCAATCATCTGATTAGCAAAATCATATTAGGGAAAACAATTTTCACTCGATCAAATACACATTTCAACCATCTTTTCCATGTTATAAAGCGCCCTCTAAATTCAGTAAAAATGAAAAAATGAATTTTCTTGAATAATGAAATAGCTTTATTGGTATGTTTCCTTTCAAATACAGCATTTAATGGAAACATAATTTTTAAGATTGAAATTTAATTTTATGGAAATATTTCCACATTTAAAAAATGAATGTATAAGATGACTTTTCTTTATTTTATTCATTTGTTTGTTCACTAGTAATAGAAAAAAAATAGTGTGGTGATTTTACGTACTTAACATCATATTAACATATTTTCAGGAAAATTTCACAGTAATGTTTTAAAACAGAATGATTTTTTAACTAGATCAAAAAGCTTTCTAGTGCAAACATTCTGTATAGATATGAAACCATACAAAACAAAATATATAACAATTAAAGAATAGCTAAAATATCCTAAGCAATGTTCACATATGGCATTTCTAGAATACTTTTGTGACTCAAAAAAATATAAAATTGAGGATATTAAAGTAAATTGATTCAATAAACATCACTTTTTATGCAGGATAAGACTTGAATTCAACATTATACCAATTCCTGCTTGGTAGCAGTTGCATTACTATTTCATGCATGGAGATTTTTATGCATTATTGTTCTCCAAAAATTCAGAGTTTTAGGAAGTATTTTTTAATAAATGAAATATCTAAGAGATAAACACATTTTTAATGATAATTGCAATGTGATGTTACTTATTGAGTATGAATGGGAAGAATATGAAGTTGTAGGAAAATTCAATTGTGCTCTCTTGTATAAAACTGGACTTTTTGCATTTCAATAGAATTCTATAAAAGCAACAATAAGTACTTATCAATATCATCTATTAGAGAGAAAGAGAAATGAACCCTGTCGTGCCCTGCCCATCCAAAATCCACTCCGCATTCAGGACCAAAAATTAAGCACTTGGCTCTTTTGGTACACAATCACCAAGTCCATCGTCAGTATGAATATATTTACATCATGACTTTATTTTAATTTCATTTACAGAATCATTGCCTCCTTTTGAACTTTCTTCTAATGTAGTGATGTTTATGCGCAGCTCCAGGTTCTCCAACTGCAGTTGCACACACTGTGCCACAACAGAATAATGCTAAAGTGGGAGCTAATGGAAATGCAGCTACAGCTCCTGGGGGAGGTGGTGGTGGAGGAGGTGCTGGAGGCGGTGTCGCCGATGGGCAGAAGGCACCTGCAACACCAGGCAACTTGGAGGTGCAACGCGGCACAGTGGACCCGTCGCAGGCGGTGGAGCACGTGGTACTGAAAAAGAAGCAGAAGTGCAAGTGCTGCGTTATTCAGTAAGCTGGGAATGTAGACACAATTTTACATACACCATATTTGAAAGCTTTGAAAGATAATTTCTTCTTTTATATAGTCAAAGCTTTTACGCAAAGAAAAATATTTTACATATATAATTTCTGCGGTCACTTTAATTTTGTATGTCTCTAAATTTGTTCACATATTGCATCCTTGTTGCTGTGATCTGTCTCGTAAGGTTGCAAGCAGGTCAAGGTATGTTTTGTACTGGAACTACAGAGCCTGTGCTTACCTTCTGCTTTGTGTTCCCTATGTGCAGCCTGGCTGGATAAGCATGCCAGAACAGAGAAAATATATATAAATATTATAAATATTCTGAATAAATGTGTGTATAAAGTTTAATAATAATAATAAACTTTCTTATACAAAAAGAGGAAAAAAATCAATTTAAGAGAATTGTACAGTTAATGTTTTGTCTTGTGCTGTGCATCGTAATATAATTTCTAATCCTCAGCTTTTCTGTGCTTTTGATACAGAGACATTAATAATAATTGTACAGGAAATAATATGAGCTCCAGAGGCATCATAGCACTGTGTAGACAAAAGTGTCATATTGACTCGCTCATGTGTTCTCACGGCTCAGCCCGCAATTGCTGCTGGCAGGAGCGTTTATTGCATGATTAAAACAAATAATCTTTGATGCACTTAATTCTGTCTCCTATGCTTTGTTCATTTCATTTTTGTCATAGTTCTGAACAAGCTGTAGACCAGATTTTTAGAGATGCATGATGCGAGTGAATATGGTCTTAGTTTTTTGTTGTTCCTTGTTATGTGAACATTAATTCTGTGAACTTAAAAAGGGATACACCAAAGACTTCCTACTGTGGACTTCTGTGAACAGATGACTGTATTCTAAGAAGACTGAGGCGTGCACCGGCCGGCATCAGCCACATAAGCAAATTTGCAAGTTTGAAGCATTCAGTGACCTTCCAGAGGTCTGTGAGAATTGTAACTGTTCTGTTGCTGGCCCAATACCTAACAGGTCCTACAGAAAAGAGGACAACCATTCTAAGGTTGCTGAACAAATTGTGAACTCTACCAATTACACATAGATAATACATATATACATATATTTTAATGGTATACATAGGGAAAAAGTAAGAATTATGAGAATTTTAAATAAGAAAGAACCTATTGTAAATTTCAGGAAGCAGAGATGTTACATGGAATTCTTGCTTGTATTATACTAAAAACTTAGTGATCATGTCTTAACTCATTTATGTGTACAGTATGCTTTCTTCGCTGTGTAATATGGGTGGGAGTAAGGGGTGGTGTTGGGTAGGAAGTGGGGCAGTCACCTGTCTTTGCTTATCCTTTTCTGGTCCGAAGGCAGGTGCTGATTAGCTGGTCGTATAGTTCTGGTGATGATGGCCTGCTTTGTCTCTGGCCCACTGTAGCCTGCCCTGCTCTACCTCGTTAATCTGCCTTTGTTGTCGGCCTTTATTTATGGTTTGTAATGACATATGTAAACATTTGGGAAGTTCAGGTCCAGTTGGGCAGGACACGTTGTGAAGGTGCATGGATGTAGCTACACCTCGTTGATCTTTGGTATACTATCTGTGGTTGATGCTAGAAGTTTTCCTAGACTTTAAATGCAATGGGGAGTTTTAGAACTTGGCAATTGCCATGGTGTGTGTCAGTTCTGTTACCTGGACTAATTGTTTTAAACAATTATAATTAGTCTTGTGTAATTTAGCTACTTGGTATTTGTAAACACAAGTACTATTGCTGCACAACCTGGACCTGGTACTGTTAGCTAACCAGACCCTCTTTGCTGCAGTTTCTGTTGGTCATTTAAACACAGTTCAGTTTTAAGGAACAAAAAACATTGCCGAGCTTCTTCTTAGGTGCTTATAAATTGTATGTATAGTACCTTGGTTAACTCCAGTGTAACTTATATGGTTTAATAAAATAATTTTGAAAATATTGTTTGCTACCCTTACTTGTTTAGTAGTAAAAACCATTTTATAGGTGATATGGTGCCATGGTATAGGTGACATGAGGAAATAATTTTTTTTTTTTGGTAGTAGGCCAAATTATTAGTGAGATATGCTGCTAAGTGAATTTGCTCATGTTAAGTTAGTTTTTATTGCCATGTGACATCTAACGGGAAAAATGTGAAATACAATGTAGATATGGTTCATACTATTACTACTAGAGTGCGTTAAAATGGCGTGGTTTCCACTTCAGAGCCATCTGTTGTCGAACGGAGGAGTTGAAGTGCCACGTGTTAGTTTGTGCTGCTCTCTGGCGACAAAACATAGAGCTTCAAATGATTATGGAATCCGCTCATTGGAGTATCTGGTGCGTTATTTGCAACACAATAGGCACACTAGCCAATAACCAACAATTTTTTCCGGTATATACCAAGTAATTACATTTCACTTTTTCACCACTTGAAGTTCTAGCCATAGTCCCAGGATATTCTCCCTCAGAATACTAATTTGCTGATTAGGTAATTTGAGTTAACCTTGAATTAAGGACGGATGTGGTCGGAATAACACAGTGTAGAAATATAATTTTTTAAGCAAGAGGGTATTACAATGAAAGTTTGCAGTCTGAAGGAATTTGTCAAAAAAAATTATTCATATGAAATAAAACCTCTTTTCTTGAAATTGTTAAATAAAATAATGATTTTATTTTTTAATGTTTAACTTTTTTATGGTACACTTTTCCAAAAAATCCATGACATAGTAACTGCATATCTGCTCCTCAAATACAAAATAAACGAATGTATGGAAAGTGGCATTAGTTACATGGTTCTTTGTACAATATTAATTAATTATTAGATGCAAAAAATTTAGTTTAAAAAATGATCGGGATGAATAAGTAAATAAAAAAAAATACATGCACACACATTCTTTTCTTTGTATTCTGCAACCACGTGCGAATTTTCAAAATTGTTCGTTGAATAGTTTATGAGCAAATGGTACATTTATCATATAAAATAAAAGTTAAGGGAAATTGTTTGCAAACATTGAAGAGTCCTTTTTGCAATGTTACCATCATCACAACTTTTTATTTTCTACTTCTCTCTTTATTCCCTAAATGTAGAGTTTGTTTATCATTCTTAACACAGTAACAATATTTTACTATTAACATCAGAAAGAATTTTTCAGGTCTATTATTCTGAAACTACTGCCAAAATTCTCTTTTCGATCTTCATTTTAGACCTCCATTAAGTTTTCTTCTTGATACTATGTTGAGATGTTATTTAAAATAAAAAGGGTCTTCCTGCAACATAATTGACCCAAAACTATGGAAGAATGTCCTAAAAACTGTGAAATAACATGGGAATGAATCCAAAAATTAAATTTTTACTTCTAAACTCTCTCTCTCT